ACGTGCAAGAAGAGCGATTCTGTTGGCAGGGGCGAACGAAGTAGTGAAAGCGGTGACCCACTCTTTCCATGTTTTCGGAGGTGAGATTCGGATTGCCTCCCCACGCGCACGCAACCCATGCAGCTGGGCTGGTGGTCGCCATTCGAGTGATGAGCTAAGCATGAAGCTGAGGCTTTGAGCTGCAGTACCTCGTACGAAAAGTGGGAGGTGTCTGATTGCACGGTGATCGATTGTGCTTTGAGAGACGTTGTCGGCGGACAATAGCCCGATGTGTGCTCTGTAAAGGGCCATTTTTTCCGGAACATCTTCGTGAGGCAGACCTTCGAGCTTGAGGTCAGGCGGAAGGTCGGTAGCCTTCAAAGTGAATCGTGTCGTGCTAATCACGCCCTGGTTTGCCGTGTTCTGGGTTACCGGGTTAGACGTGTCCTGGTTTACCGTTTGCTGGTTTACCTGGCTCATTGGTGTTTGGTTTACCGCGTTGAGGTTGTCCGGGGTATTGTGTGATATTGTTGTGTTCTGATGAGCAGAAGAAATTTGCGGAACACTTGGGGTGCGCCTGCTAGAACTATTTTCTGCTGCTAGATCCTGGGCAAGCGATCTCGGGTTCACCTTCTCTATGTCGTTCTGGTGGCCGGCGCCTGGCATGAGCATCTTGATGACCCAGGCTGGGGGCTCCTCCCCGGCCTTCGCTGCTTTCTGGACCTCAGCGACCAGAACTGACTCGAGTGGGCTGCCGCTCGACAGGAGCGACGCGCCCGGTTGACGGGGTGCTTTCGCGCGGTCCCGCAGGATATCCTGCGCGAGGCCGTCGTCGTAGTCATGTCCGTCTACGTCGTCGTCATCGACTTCCCCCCACGCGCGTCCATCACCGTTGCCGGTGTGGACGTCGTCGTCGGTTCGACTCCCGATGTTATCGTCGTGAGCAGACTCAGCATCACTGCTGTCGTTGTCCGCATGGCTCTCATCTCCGTCGGCAAGAGGACCGAAGGAGCCGATGCTGCTGCTGTTTGTGCTCGACGGGGTTGCTAAGCCCGCGGAAGCACCAGCATTCTGTCCAGCGCGCCTCGCCTTATGCTGTCCCTTTTCGGGCTTAGCGGCGGGCTTTGCTGCGGCTGTAGCAGCATCAGAGCGTTGCGACTTCGGCGGCTGTTGATTTTGGTTTTGCGTATTTGCTTTCTTTTTGTTGCCTCCCAAAAGAAAAACGCTTCGTCGAACGCCAATATGGATGCCCTCTACTCTGGGTGAGTGGAGAGTCCAGGGTTGTGGTGGCTATGTCCTGCCACCGGAGGTTGGCTATTTCCTTTGGTGTAATGTGGCGAGGAATGCCAAGCGTGACCGAGCGAACTCAGTCAAGCTAGGGTGGTGCGGAGAGTGTGGGTGAGCCTTCGTGGACTCATTTCCCCATCCTCCTAAAGATTCATCAACTATTCGCAGCCGTTGGGAATCTGTAGGGTCATGACCCCTTGGGACCAACAGTGATCTATTATCACATATCCCTTGGATCTGACTCTTTATGTACGTGTGTTTGTGCTTCCTGAATCTCCATATCCTGACCTCCACATTTTGAATTTTTATTGTACAAGCAGGGGTTGTGTACAGCGGTTTATTAACAGCAGTTCTTGTGTACATTACTGCTGTACCACTAGATACAGCAGCAGCAGTAGTTTAATTCCGAGTATGTTTGTGGGCCGTTTTTGTTCAGCAACCGGCTAGTGTGGCGTAGGTACGCTGTATCATGCCGCAGTATTTGCTGTAGGATGAAATGATATACAGCAGGGCAGTAACAGCAGTGCACACAGTACAGCTGCTAAATCCGTGAATAATATGTGTCCTCTTTTCTTCTCCAGGTGGAGCAAGCAGTCATGAAAATGTTGGTGCAGGCGATGTCAACCGGGACGCGATCCAGGCATTCGGGCGCAAAGCTCGTCGTGCTCTCGAGAACGCAGCATCCACGGACGCCGAGCGTGTGCAATACAGCGGCTTCAACGCGTCCGAGGGGTGGGTAAAGAAGTTTGTCAAGCGCAACAAACTGTACTCCCGTGCACTTCACGGCGAAGCAGGCAGCGTCGACGACGAATCCATCGCCGATCGCCTCAGAGTAATCCGCGAGACGTGCGCTCAGTATGCCCCAGAATGCGTCTACAACGCCGACGAAACCGGGCTGTGTGTTGTAAAGGATCATGCCCAAGGCTACGTACCTCGCACCATCAGAGCTCAAGAAGCCCGTGCGAGGCGTGAAAGGTATGAGAGCGAATGATCGAGTCACCGCCTACATGGCTACGAGCGCCAGCGGGCGTAAGGTGCCNACTGTACTCCCGTGCACTTCACGGCGAAGCAGGCAGCGTCGACGACGAATCCATCGCCGATCGCCTCAGAGTAATCCGCGAGACGTGCGCTCAGTATGCCCCAGAATGCGTCTACAACGCCGACGAAACCGGGCTGTGTGTTGTAAAGGATCATGCCCAAGNCACGGACGCCGAGCGTGTGCAATACAGCGGCTTCAACGCGTCCGAGGGGTGGGTAAAGAAGTTTGTCAAGCGCAACAAACTGTACTCCCGTGCACTTCACGGCGAAGCAGGCAGCGTCGACGACGAATCCATCGCCGATCGCCTCAGAGTAATCCGCGAGACGTGCGCTCAGTATGCCCCAGAATGCGTCTACAACGCCGACGAAACCGGGCTGTGTGTTGTAAAGGATCATGCCCAAGGCTACGTACCTCGCACCATCAGAGCTCAAGAAGCCCGTGCGAGGCGTGAAAGGTATGAGAGCGAATGATCGAGTCACCGCCTACATGGCTACGAGCGCCAGCGGGCGTAAGGTGCCGCTGTCTTGTATCGGCACAGCCAAGGAGCCCCGGTGCTTCAAGATCCGGGGCTCACCCATCAAGTACTTCAGCCAGAAGAACGCGCGGTCGGACGCGCGAGTGTTCAAGCTGTGGTGGTCACAAGTGTTCCTGCCATACGTGCGCTCCGTCACCAGCGAGAAGGTTCTTCTCATCATGGACAACCACAGCAGCCACGCCGACCTCGTAGACCCCAAGGAGCAGGTGAAGATTCTATAGCTGCCACCCAACTGCACGAGTAAGCACCAGCCCATGGATGCCGGGATCATCGCAGCCTGGAAAGTGCGGTACAGGGCGAAGCTGCTGGGATTCGCGTCGACACGATGACGTCGGCGGCGCAGCTACGGGAGCAGGCGAAGGAGCGCAAGGTGATTCGGGGCTGCATGGGGCTCGCGGAAGGAGCGCAGCCTCACATCCTGGACGCAGCTGAGCTAGGCTTCGAGGCGTGGAAGAAAGTTTTGCCGGAGACAATCAAGAGGTGTGTCCGTGTGGTGGTGTTCACATTATTCAACAACTGCTGTATAATTTCCCCCCTCTAGACACATACCGTTACCATGTATATTGCACGTTGACGAAATTGTTAACTGACGCCATCATCTTGCAAGTTGTGTTTGAATTGAAAAAAATGATATTTTTTTGTCTTTCGTTCGGCTCGTTCTGTTTTTTTCTTTTCTCGCCGTGTATGTTTCTCTCTCCTTCCCGCGTACTTTGACTATTCATCGTTTCCAAGGTGCTGGAGGAAATGTGAAATCCTTCCTCCTGCGGTGCACGCGGACCTCGACCAGGACGTGGGAAAGAATATCCGCAACAAGAAGGAGAGTCTCGAAGAGTTGACGGACTTGGTGCAGCGTCTTTCTCCTGAGGCGGGGAAGACAACTGTCGATGAAGACCTTGGCGAGGCGCTTAAGGGTCTGGGGTTGGCACCTGGCGCAACGCCAACCTGGGCTTCCATGGAAGCCGTGCAGACATGGTTGCGTGTAGAGGAAGAAGACGGTGTAGCGGAGGCGATTATTGCAGATCTGAAGGACGATCTTTGTGAGGAGTCGCTTGCCCACCTGAACACGGACCAGCTGAACATAGACTCGGACGACGACGAGGCCGACTCTTCGGCGGGAGACGAGGGACAGTGTACGCAGCCTCTGGTCTCTCCTCGTCCGCCACCGTACGCTNCATGGTTGCGTGTAGAGGAAGAAGACGGTGTAGCGGAGGCGATTATTGCAGATCTGAAGGACGATCTTTGTGAGGAGTCGCTTGCCCACCTGAACACGGACCAGCTGAACATAGACTCGGACGACGACGAGGCCGACTCTTCGGCGGGAGACGAGGGACAGTGTACGCAGCCTCTGGTCTCTCCTCGTCCGCCACCGTACGCTGACGTATCTAGGCAGTTCGGAGACCTCGAAGAAATAATAGCAGAGAGGTGCAGCATGGCCGGGGTAGCTTACCATCTTCGCAAGGCGAAGTTAGCCTGGATGAGCGAGGCTGGGTCAAAGAAAACGAAGCAAACATGCATGGCAGACTTCATGTAAAGATGCAGAAGCTGCCCACAGGCGATGTTCATGGACGTCTGTTTTTTTTTGTAAGGGTAGGGTGTACTACTTGTACTGCTGTAGGTGCTTGAGTCACTGATCTTGAGTGTTTCGTGTGTGTAATGCTCACGTCTCTGTATTCTGTTGGCAGCTATCCTGTGATATGCACTGCTGTTTGTCGAGATGAGGTCGGAGTACACCTCCGAGACCACGTAATAGTTACATCGATTATGCTTCGTACACAACAAGAAGGAGGGATCACGCTTGGTGAGGGCCCTGGAACGCACGAAAATATTGTGGAAAACAATAAAGAAATAATACTTCTCATCACATCCATCATGTTAGACCCTCTTTAAAGACATATAATCGGTTTAAGAGGGGTTTTCTCTTAAACCGAACGTACGGTTAAGAGGGGTTTCTCTTAAACCGAACGTACGGTTTAAGAGAAAACCTCTCTCAAACCGTATTAAGAGAAGGTCGTGTTTAAGAGAGGTCTTCTGGGTGATGCACATCCTTCTCTTAAACCGTAGTCCCCACTGCTGTATCTCGATGTTGTTTTTCTCCCATCATTGGACTCTGTCGTCTGCCCCTCTGGCCCCTATCCTCCACTTCTACCAGCTAGACGACCCAACTGGGGTCACATAGGAGGGGGAAGTTGGACCCCCTCCTGCGGTTCCTGCCTGAGATATTTTTATCGCGAGAAGGGTACAGCAATCCCTTCCCTCGCGACTTAAGAAGTCGATCATGTTGTTGTTGTTGTTGTTGTTGTTGTTTCTCACATTAGCTCTATAGTCCACAAAAATCGGGAGCCCGTGGTCTCAAAACCCGGCACATACGACGCCGCGAGAAAACAAAAAAAAACAAAGAAGGGTACAAACCACTCGGAAAAAGTAAACAAAATGATAGAAAGAAAAGAACAGGTATCGCACCCACCGTTCGAGAAAAGAGCCCTCGGACACCGATCAAAATAAAACAAAACAAAAATAACAGAAAAATAAAGGAGGACGCTTCCCACACCCGCCTAAAGCAAAAATCAAAGGGTAATGTATCAGCACCAGGCACTGCGCACCAGGGCATGGGAGTAACGGAGCAAACAGGGCAAAGAGGCGGCAGATGGGCAGACAGCCAGACGTACAA